CGTCCTCTTCTTCTGGGGGCGTCTTGGAGGCCTCCTTCGCCGTTTTGGGGCCATCTTGGTCCTCTTGGAGCGATCCGTCGGCGAGTCGGGGCCCTCTTGGACCGTAGGAGCGCCCGCGGCCTCAGCGGCCTCTCATGGGCGGATTTCCCACTACACAAGCATAGGTAGGAGAGGGAGGAGAGGGAGGAGAGAGAGGAGGAGGAGGAGGAGGAGGAGGAGGAGGAGGAGGAGGAGGAGGAGGAGGAGGAGGAGGAGGAGGAGGAGGGGATCAGTAGGAGGAGGAGGATAAGGAAGGGGAGGAGGGGGAGGAGGAGGGGGAGGAGGAGGAGGAAAAGGAGGAGGAGGAGGAGGAAGAGGAGGAGGAGGAGGAGGAGGAGGAGGAAGAGGAGGGGGGGCCTTTCCTGAGGTGTCCGGGAGCTCTCTGGGAGCCCTCTTGAAGCCGTTTTGAGGCCTCACGGACGCCCAGGGGAGGGACAGCACACCAGTCGCCGGTCGAGGATCCTGCCCCGGGGGCAGGTCCTGGCCCCCCGCGATACTCATGTACACACATGTGTACCTATACTTGGGATGTTGGGTTGACCGCGAGAATGAATCTCGAGCCCCCCAATAAAGTACCGAAACTCATTGGTGTTCGCGTGTCGGGCCCCGGGAGACTCGTCCGACACTGATTCGACATTGTTTTGGCACTTTTCTGGGCGCTCGGACTTATTTCTGGGATATGGTCTTTAAGTACGACGGGAGCAACATAAACCGACACATTTATTCACGAATTTGCATACACTGCACCAGTTCGAGTTCCTTTTTCTAAAGCAAGTTGATTCCACCACTCACTCCCGAGCCTGGACTCATCGGCACCCATTGGGATGGTACACGCATCAAACGTTTCTGCCCCCGCGCTCATTCACTAAATGAAAGCAGCAAACAGACCAGCACACCCAGGCCGTTATCGGCCGCACCCCTCATCCCTGGCAAAGGATGCCATGCGCGCCAACCCGTGTATCCGAAGATATTTGTGTGCAAGCATCCCTTGCAAACAACATGCCACAACATCCACGCGCGCGCAAACGTCGAACTCTCAACAACACATCGGTTGCGCACGTGTTTCTTCATACATGTACCAAGCACCCTTAAGCTTTTCCATCAAGCATGTGGCTGAGCCCCTGCCCGCGCGCACTGGCCGGAATCATCGGAAAGGCATCGACAGTTTAGCAATCCCGGCCATCCATTATTTCGTCTCACCATCAAGGGAGGACATCAACAACCCCGACCCCTACATTTTGCGTTTGCTGCACGACCCTGGGCGTTTACGAACCAACCCTGCCCAGTTTCATTCCTTCCTTGGGTGCGTTTGCTGAACGCCTTTCTCGTCGGGGTGCGTCTTGTGAAAGGTGTTTTTGTTCGCTCTCTCGACGCCACGCGCTGCGCTCGCGTAAGTCTAGCACGCGCCCAGCGCACGGACCCGTACATCAGACAGTGCAACGCGGGCCACGCGCGCACGTCGCACCGCGCGCGTGAGGGCACGGGTTCAGAACCAGTTGTTCTCGAAGCATTCGGATAGCGACCATTGGCGTCTTGTTGAACGTTTTGTCATTGCCGCTGTTCCCGCGCTCTGGCGATTTCGAGAAGCAGTGTTTCAAGGTGGGGCTCGGTGCCATCAACAAGTGAGATGCTCACCCTGACACCCATGTGATACTCGCCACCAACCATGTGCCAGGTGACGACGGCAAGTATGAAAACACGCGACCCTACGCAAACCGCGGTTAGTGCAAGTTTGAGCGCGCCATAAGCGTACGTGTAGCTTCGAACTACGTTGGTTGTACAGAGGATTTGGGCACGGATGCGCGAAGCAGTAATCTGCATCGTGGGACGCCGATCTCGCCCGATGTTTTCTCCGACCAGATGCGGACTCGTGTGCGGGAAGGGACCATCGTGCTCACAGCAGGAGGCGATGATGATTTTGTCATTAAGCAATACCGCGAAGGCTTCATTCATGCTTGGGATAACCACACACGCATTCAGTTCAACGGCGGCTGCATCCATGCGAGCAGTCTAGATTGGCGTGATGGGGAAACATTTGTGATGGCAAGGGCGATCAACTGCGCTGTAGAGCATTGCTCACCTCTGGGGGGGATACATATCAACCTCAAAGGCAACCGTTTCTCGAAGGCGGGAATCAGGGCTTTGCAAGATGCACAGGGCGGGCAATTTCTTGTTGCTTTAGACGGGGGTTGACAGCGGGATGCAATGCCATCCGACGTGATGCTTCTAGTTTGAAGCATGCTGCGGGCATTGGAACATGAGCCTGCAAGACCTGCTCAGTTTGTCCTTGCCCGAGGAGTTCGGCCTCAGCACTGGAGGGAACGCCAACAAGGGGGAAACCCCTCACGAGATCTGAGCCACACGCGTGGAATCGCGCAGCGGGGGAATCGGTTGGAGGTTTGACATCGGAGCCGAGCTCGGAGGCCAAGACGGTTCTGGAGGAGTCCGAACGGGCGGATGCCATTCCCATTCGTCGGCTCCGACCAGGCGAGTGCTCACCACGCAGCGCTCGGGCCAATTTGCTCTCACGGCCACTGTGTGCGCCCCCTTGCGCAGTCCGACCCGAGAGAGCTGCTGCACCGAGAGTGCGGCCAGCACGGCCCACCCCCACCCCCAGAGAGGACCCCCACTCCCGACTCGGTGATCCAGGGCGTCCTGGTCGGGGGCGGGTTTCTGTCCTCAAGGATTGTCCCCAGTTGGTGCGAGCAAAATCATGGGCCTCTGGTGGGCCCCCCTCGTGGTCGCTCAGCGACGGTCTCCTGTCGCTGGCCCCTGGCAAGGACCTGCATCCCCTGCCTGGGTGACAAACGGGTCCCCTCGGGCGGGCCTCCGCGGGGGGCTGGCGGACTCGTCGGACCTCTCTTCTGTTTCCCCAACCATCCTGTGGTGTTCGGTCCTCGTTTTGAAGAGATAGTCCCCGCGTTCCTCTCCTCTTCCCTCCTCCTCCTCCTCAGCTCTCCCTCCTCCCTCCTCACCCTTGTCATCTGCCCCCCGCACGTCATCAGCATCACCATCGGAATCATCATGGTTACCATCATCATGGCACACCCCTCACGTTTCGTGGCCCAGAGGGAGATACACCGAAGGCCCTTGGGCGCCGCCTGCATGCGTCCGACCCACTCGTTCCGGCACATCGCTCACGAGGACCGCCGCCCAGCAAGGGGTTCCACCGTAAGTCCCAGGGGTGCCGCCCGCATGCGTCCGACTCATTAAATTCGGCTCGTGGCCCCATAGGGGGGCCCACCGCGTGTCCCAGGGGCGCCGCCCGCATGCGTCCGACCCAAGCATTTCGGCACATGCCTAAGGAGGATCGTGGCCCCATATGGGGGGCCCACCAAAGGTCACGTGGGCGTCGCCCCGCCCGCATGCGTCCGACCTACCCATTTCGGCACATGCCTCACGAGGATCATGGCCCCATAGGGGGGGCCCACCGCATGTCCCAGGGGCGCCGCCCGCACGCGTCCGACTAACCCATCTCGGCACACTCCTCAATAGGATCGCGGCCCTAAAGGGCTCCAGCGAAAATTCTAGGGGCGGCGCCCGCATGTGTCCGGCCCACGCATGTCGGCACACCCCTCACGAGGATCGTGGCCCAAAATGGAGCTCCACCAAAGATCCTAAAGGCGCCGCCCGCATGCGTCCGACCCGCTCATTTCGACACACCACTCACGAGGATCTCAGCCCCATAGAGGGCTCCACCGTAGGGCCCAGGGGCGCCGCCTGCATGCGTCTGGCCCACTCATGTCGGCACATCCCTCACGAGGCTCGCGGCCCCACAGGGAGCTCTACCGAAGGTACCAGGGGCGCCGCCCGCATGCGTCCGACACGATCATTTCGGCACATGCCTCACGGGGCTCATGGCCCCATCGGGGGCTCCACCGAAGGTCCCATGGGCGCCGCACGCGCCGCCCGCATGCGTCCGACCCACCCATGTTGGCACACCCTCACACGTTTCGCGGCCCCATGGGGAATTCCACGAAGAATCCCTGCGGCCGTTCGCTCGCGCGCCTCCCCCACCCATCTCGGCTCGCCCCTCACACGCTTCGTGGCCCCATAAGGAGGGTCACAGCGGCCGTCATCGCATGTGTCTCTCCCACAGCCCACATGCGGTACCTACCCCATGTTGGGACACCCCTCACGCGGGTCGCCTGTCTCAAGCAGTTTGCGGCCCCATAGGGAGCTTCCCCTGGATCGTCCCGCTTGCTTGCGGTGCTCAAAACTGCATATGGTTGGGCCCTTCGCCCGGACAATATCCTGCCAGTGACGTGCGATCGAGCAGGGCACGTGGCCACGAGCACGCCACGGGCGGAGGAGGGCCCAGCCCGCTTCGCCTGGCCCTCTCCGCCAGGTGCCTCCCCCGCAGCGTGCGGCATCTGGACCGAACTTCTGGCGTTCCGCCGTTAGCTCCGCTTGCAAGTCGGTCGGAGCTTGGTAGAGAGGGAGCAGCCCCCAAGGTGAGGTCAAGAAACGAACCATGCTAGACACTTGCGCTTCGTTATTCCAGGGTCCCTTCGGAGTGACGATCTCTCCTACCCCACCTCTGCTGCCCCTTGTTGTCTTGAGAGTCCAGTAAGTTCGCAGCCTTGTATAACAATACACGCCGTACAAGCCCGTCAACGAATTCGAATACATTGAGCTTCGCTCCCACACGAGAGTTGGTCGGCGTCGTGTCTACCAAGTAGGGAGGTTGATGAGGAAGAGAGGGGCAGCGACGGCGACGAAAAAGACGACCACGACGCCTGGACCTGTCCCGGTGCGCGCTCGGATCAGAACCTGGAGGCGGGCTTCGCCGTGGAGGCCCGCAGACGTCAAGAAGCCTTGCTTCTCGAGGCTGGGCCTTCGATCGCCGACGACTACGACGACCATCACGACGACGACGACGACGACCAGGACGACGACGACGACGGAGACGACGATGACGGAGACGATGACGACGTCGACGACAACCCCGCCCCTGGGAGGACTCGGACGGCGGCGCGACCCGGGGCGCGCCAGCGGGGGCCTCTGAGCAGGCGGCCTCGGCCGCGGTCAACGCCGTCGGCGTCGTCGCCGCCGCCGTCGTCGACGAAACTCCAGGTCTTCCAGCTTACTCCGTATTCCATAATAAAGGCGGGGGGGTCACATTTGGGGGGGGGTCTGATTTGAGCTGTCTTGGAGGATTGCGGGGGGTCTGGGCAAAGGGCCGCCCTTTCATGGATGGTCTGGGGGGCTCTAAAACTTCTCGTCTGGGAGGGTTGGGACCCCCTCCCTTTTATTACGAAATCTGGAGTACTTTCTTCGGCCGGGGACTCCACGAACGATCTGTACGCATGACTTCCTGAGACCCGCGCGGAATTCTCGGTCCCGCGCTGGGCCCCCGCGTTTGGCGCCGCAGGCGCCGATGCGAGGCATCTGCGCGGAACTCCGTCTTTTGATCCTTGGTCAGTGGGCGCCCCAGAGGTCGGGGGGTTCGCTGCCGTCCCCGTCCTTCTCCTCCTCCCATACCGCTCCTCCTTTCCTCCTGCCTCTCCTCCCTCCTCTGTCCTCCTCAAACCCACTTCCCTCCGTCTCTACTTCCCCCCTCCATCCCTCCACCTTCCGCTCATCCTCCAATGCCTCATCCTCCTCCTCAGTCCTTCCCTCCCTCCTCTTTCCTCCTGGGGCCGTCGGGGGGGCGGCGTCGTCAGGGGTCCATCTTGGGCCCGGGCCGTCTCCGATCGCATCAGAGCCGCGCCTGGGCGTGGTCGGGGCCGTCCGGACTTCCTTCGGAGGTCCCGGGACAGTCGGAGCCCCGAGTCATCAGGGCTTGGGGATGTTAGTTGTAGCTTCAGGTCGGGCATGTCCCCCTACAGCGGGGTTTTGTTTTGGACTACATATTGGACCCAAACAGCATTTGAAAATAATCGAAAGATATTAAAACATGACTTTTATGAATCTTCCTCCCGTAGGGGACAGGCCCGACTTCAGGGTAGCTCCTGATTCATGCCTCGGGGGCCCAAGAGCCTACTTTTTTTATTCAGGGGCGATAGCGGGCGACACCGGGGGATGGGAAAGGGGGCCGGTGACGTCACGTTTCGCGCCCGCGGTGTCTGGGAATGCCTAGGAATGACCGAGGCCAGGCAGGAGCAGTATGTAGGTGGCGATCTGCACCACAGCGCCTGTGTGAACCACTGTGCCTGCGCGTGCACCACAGCGCCTGTGGACACCACCGCGCCTATGTACATCACAGCAGCCGCGTGCAACACAGCGCCTGTGTGCACCACAGTGCCCGCGTGCACCACAGCGCATGCGTACACCACGGCGCCTGCGTACACCACAGCCGCCGTCGGCAACAAAGCACCAGTATACACCACAGTGCCTGCGTGCACCACATCGCCTGCGTACACCACAGCGCCTATGTGTACCACAGCAACCGTGTGCAACATAACATTATTATTGTGTATATCTATATCTTTAGAAGGAATCCTTATGAGTAAATGGAGCGCCTCTGGAATCTACGAGTCCTCCGGGGTCCTCCCGCATCTCCTGACTCTGCCCATGTGCGTCCAGAAGGTTTCTGCAGAGTTGGCCGTCTGAGACCAGATTTCTGGTACCTATACGACCACGCTTCGGGTGATAAGGAGGTTGTGGGGGGGAGAGGGGGGGAATCAACATCTGACTCAATCGATCTCACTATCGATCTCACTCAACGGGACACCACGGGACACCACGGGACACCTGTCGATCTTACTCCACGGGACACCACGGGACACTTGTCGATCTCACTATTGGTCTCACTCAACGGGACACCACGGGACACCACGGGACACCACGGGACACCGCGGGACACCTGTCAATCCCACTATGTGTCTCATTATCGATCTCACTATCGATCTCAATCAACGGGACACCATAGGACACCACGGAGTACTACGGGACACCACAGGACACCTCGGGACAACACATCGATCTCACTATCGATCTCACTATCGATCTCACTCAACGGGACACCACGGGACACCACGGACACCTGTCGATCTCACTATCGATTCTTTTTTGGGGGACACCACGGGACACCACGGAACACCTTGCGGCACCACATCGATCTCACTATCGATCTCACTATCGATCCCACTATCGATCTCACTCAACGGGACACCACGGGACACCGCAGGACACCGCGAGCCACCGCCGGACGGGCGGAAGGAGGATAATCATTTGTCTTGACTTCGCCCTAGCAACTGCGGACACCACGGGACACCGCGAGCCACCGCCGGACGGAGGAGAATCATTTGTTTTGACTTCGCCCTAGCAACGGTGGACACCACGGGACACAACGGGACACCAGTGGGACACCGGCGGGACACCAGTGGGACACCGGCCGCCGGAGGAGTTACATGTGGTCCGGCCGCGGCCCAGCCACAGGAGGATTTCGGGACACCGGCGGGACACTGGCGGGACACCGCGGGGCACCGGCCGCTGGAGGAGTTACATTTGGTCCAGCCGCGGTCCAGCCGCGGCCCAGCCACAGGAGGATTTCCTTTCGCCCGCCCACGCAGCTGCGCCTCGCACGCACGCACGGCACGCACGACACGAACCCGAAGCCGAAATTGATTTCCCGGTAGGTGGGGTCTCCGTTTCACGTCGGACTCACCCCCAATCTGCGATGCACAGTGAGATGCGCAAGTGCGCTGCAGCGCCAACCCGCACAGAGGGGGGAAGAGGGAGGGAGGAGGAGGAGGACGAGGAGGAGGACGAGGAATGATAAAAAGAGGAGGAAGACGAAGAGGAGGAGGACGAGGAGGTGGAGGAGGAGGAGGAGGAGGAGGAGGAGGAGGAGGAGGGGGAGGGAGAGGGGGAGGGGGAGGCGCAGGAGGAGGCGGAGGAGGAGGCGGAGGAGGAAGAGATGATGAGGAAGAGGAGGAGGAGGAGGAAGGGCAGGAGGAGGAGAAGGAGGAGGAGGAAGAAGGAGGAGGAGGAGGACGAGGATGGAGGAGGGTGGTGGAGGGATGACAATCACATTTTATTATCAGCAACTCCTCTTGCGTGGCGTTGAGCTGTGTGAAGCACCTCCTCACCTACATGCTCCTTCTACCTGTCCAGAGCACGCAGGCACTGGTGCACATCGCTGCTGTGGTGTGCACCCTCGCTGTGGTGTGCACATGCGCTGTGGTGCACGCAAGCATTGTGGTGCACACAGGCGCTGGGTTCCACTTTGCTGTTGTGGTGTAAACAGGCGCTGTGGTGTACACGCGCGGTGTGGTACACGCAAGCACTGAGGTGTACACAGGTGTTGCGTTACACACGGCTGTTGCTGTGTACGCAGACGCTGTTGTGTACACACGCGCTGTGGTGCACGCGATGCAGATCACCTATTTGCTGCTCCTACTTTGGCCCTGTCATTCCTAGGCGTTCCCGGACGCCGCCGGCGTGGAACGTGACGTCACTTGGGGGGGAGGGGCGCGGAGCTGGTGACGTCTGCTATCGCGGAAAGGAAAAAACAGGCTCCAAACCAGAGTTACTTCGGTTGATTTATCTTGGATAAGTCGGGCGTTCAAACACTTCCGCTTAATCGGTGCTGCGGCGGTCAGGGGTAATTCCCGGGTCGTACGTCGGGGAGCCCAATTCGGAATTACCCCCAGACTTAAATATTTTTCCCGGATAATTCGGGCGTCCGAGACAGCCTTCGTCAGGAATCGATCATGGCATCCGGTTTCTCTTCATTTTGTGGGCTTCGGGTCCCCTTGGTCGGCGCCGGGGTGTGGTTTGCGATCGGCCATGTTGGGGCCTGGGGAGCACGACGCTGGTCTCGTCGGGCTTCCCTGGGGCGCAACAGAGAACTCTTTCGACGGCCCCCCTGCACCCCACGACGCCGGTTGCAGACCATGCGCACCGCAAGCCACACCCCTTGGATCTGGGCGCCAGGAGGCTCCGGGCTCGGCCGAGGCGTCGCGTCGGGGTCCCACGTTCGCAGCTCCTGCACCTCCAGGTCGGGTGGCCAGCCGACCATGGGCGCTCGTGTCGCTCCCCAGGGGTCCGATGCCTTGAATTTTGCAGTACGGGGTCCCTGGGAGTCCCGACCTCGTGCCTCGTTCCTCTTGGCCGGCCTGTCACCCCCAGGACTCTTGATTCTCCTGGTGCCAGCACAGGGCCCCTGGGAGGCCGAAAGCCGCGACACGTGTCCGTCTTCAGTACCTCATTGTACAGTTGTGCAGTCAACCCGAATAGTATATAAGGCAACCGTCCCAGGGGTACCCTTGCATCCTTGCCTCCTCGGTGCATCCTTGGCCTTGTTCGTTGGCCGCGCTCCGCTCGAAAAGCTTCGACGTGGCCTTCCAATGCACTTGCATCCTTATCGCACACCCTTACTATGATTACTGGTTGACTGTATTGTGTCAGAGGAGCGGGTCCTTCCCCCCAGGCGCCGTTCCAATGGTCGCGGCTCGGCGACGCGGAGGAGGGTGGCGCGTCGCTTGGGCCCGAGCCGCAGCGGCAGCTGCTGAACCGAGGCCCCGCATCGAGGATCGAGGGTCAAGTTTTTTTTGGTGGACGACAGGTAGGGTTCGAGGATCGAGATTCGAGGGTCGAGGATCGAGGCTCGAGCATCCAGGATCGAGGATCAAAGGTCGAGAATGGAGGTTCGAGGATTGAGTTTTGAGGGTCAGGGACTCAGGGCCAATGGTCGAGGTCGAGGATTGAGGGTCTAGTAGTTTGCACAATTTTGGAGCTTCTGATTGATTCTTGGAGGGCTAATTGGAGGATTCTAGATTTCTGGGGTCCTTTGGAGACCTCCAGGGATCTTTCCTGAGGAGGGAGAATGTGACGAGTCACGATCGAGCAAGCACAGCACGCGGCAGATCGTGCAAGCACAGCATGCTTCTAACCTGTGTGGAGAGTGCAGAAGGGAATGGGGCAACCCACCGGGAACCTCAACCTCCAGCGCCTCGGACAACAGTGCCCTCCGCGCCGACCTCGCCGAACTGCACCAGCAGGTCGCCGAGTGCGGGCGCGTCCAGTAGGGAGGGGGTGACCCTGTCATCCCGATGTTTGCAACATGCGATAGTCGCTACCACTCGTGAAGCCTGCTTTCTGTGAGCGTGTCTTCGCCTTCTCCGTGGTCTAGTTTCAGCCGGTCGCTTGTCCCCTCCTCCGTCGTCTTTGCTAGCTCTTAAGGCGAGGGCAGACTGCCCCGAATGTGTACGCACGCGCCGATCGTGACCTTAAGTTGCATCGACTAAGCATATCGAATAGATGTCATTGAACGTTTCGATCGACACCATTTTGGCGACGAAATATCGCGCCAGAGCTCGGTCATCGTGATCGAAACGTCGAGGTTTCGTAACACTATCGCACATCACGGTCCGCATCGGCGTTTCGATTTAGCTTGGCTCGGATGGGGAAAGTCGTAATGTTCCGAGGTGTCTCGTTCTTAAGGTGGTCCAGCGGGCCTTCCGTCCGCGAGGTTTGCGCGCTAGAATCGACGTCACACCAACATACTTATACTATATGTGCGTCACCCCATCCAGGGGCGGCGCGCGCACCGAGAACTCTTCTAGTACATGCGTCGTGTCGGGCGCTTTCTGGCCGCACCGCTCGCGAAATGATACGCTACAAGATGGGTCTACTATATGTTCGGGTCGGACGCGCGCCTCCCAGGAGGACAACTAGTATCAGTATGTCTCCTGTGCGCCCCATGGAAACATCAAACCGCCTCGGAACGTCATTCCGTGAGGTCCCTGATATGACTCGCGCCCACGAGGGCTTTAACCCTTGAGCCAGCACGTCGTTTTCAAGTCAGAACCTCTCAGGAGGGACACAAACACACAGACACAATTAATCGCCGTTTCCCAAGAAAGTATGGTAAAATATAGGAAGTGGGGGGAGCACACAAACCCAGAAAATGTTGGAAACTATGGGGAATCCTGTTATTTATGTCTATTCATTTGTGTGTCCCAGGGCCCCTTCAATCTCGGCTGTCTAGTACCATGTGCGGCCATGAGCCTGGGCTTCCCAGATGGGGTCCGAGTAGATGGTGTCTCAGGATCGCGCCGCAACGCCGACGCATCGACGATACATCGCCGATGCTTCGGCGATGCGTCCCGATGTCGAGCCCGATTGTCTCCACGCTGTCGTCGCCGATACACTGCCGACATCGCTGATGCATCGGCGATGTATCGTCAATGCATCGTCGATGCGGCGCGATCCTGCGACCCCATCCGCTTGAACCCCATTCGGGAGGCCTTCAAAGAACTTGCTTCCCACAACTGAGAAGCTGTCCAAAAGCAGGCATCTTACCGATACAAGTGGCCCCGCACATGTGATGGCGTCTCCCTGGACGCGTGGAGTCCTGCGGGATGTTTCTGTCCTCGATCCGCTGAGCAGAAGAGGCACACCCGGCTCGTAGTGGTGGATTTCCGATGCTCCCCACGTCCTAAGTGGAGGTCTGTTTTCTCTGGGCACCTCTGGCGCTGGAGCACACACGAACGGGAAGTCTCCCACATCATCATCATCATCATCATCATCATCGCCATCATTATCATCATCAGCATCATCAGCATCACCAGCTTCATCATCATCTCATCACCATCAGCATCATCAGCATCATTTGTCATTACCATTATTATTACCATAGTTGTCATCATTGTTGTTCCTTTGCCCAAGCTTGGAGAGCGTGAGTGAGACTCGGGTTTTTGCGCGTGCTGGCTTAGGAACCGCTGTCGTTCGCGCGGGCATGCCATTTCAGGAAGGCGTGTTCAGTCTGCGCCCAGTCGGATGCAGCCGTATCGGATTTGGCGTGTCGCGCTTCGTGTCGTCGCTGCGGGGTGGCACAGACACGCAAGCCAGACACCGCCTGCTATGACCCGAGCAGGTTGGGAAAACAGGGCGGCGCCATGCCACAGCTAAAGGAATGATGGACCCGTCTTGGCGGGGCCTCTCGGGAGTGCGTGTGGGCCTGGCACGCCACCCCGCCCCTGCGCAGGACGCTGGCAGGGATGGCCTCATCCTGGGGCCCGAGCGCCAGAAGTATGAATTGGCGCGCGTCGGGGCGCAGGAGAAGCAAGTCGGATTTGACGGCAAACCGATCATTGAGCTGGATCCCAAGTTTCAAAAGTTTGCAAGTTGTCGTCGTCGTCATCGTCGTCGGGCAGAGGAGAGTAGGGCTAACCAAGATGTTTCCAAGGAGGAAGCCAAGTTGCATAACCTCGTCCACCGCAAGAGCGGCACGGGAGCGAAGGCCGCCCAGACGGCGTGCACGGCGGCGGCGCTCAAGGAGGAACCAGAGACGGCCCAGGTCAGGGTGGACGAGGCTATCGTCGCCCTCGAGAGGCCGAGGACGGCCGTCAAGGGCTACGCGGACTCCTGCGCCAGGGTCGTGCAGAAGGGCGTGTCTTGTGACCCCAGACGCCAGTGGCGCCAGGCTTGCAGCTGGCCGAACCGTTCGAGGTGGTCAAGGGCAAGTTCGTCGATGAATGCGCCGGCATGGTCAAGCATGTGGAGGACGTGGTCGCGGCCGCGGACGCAGCCACAGCAGGCGGCTGACGCAGCGGCAGCCGAGGCAGAAACGCGTGCAGCGGGCCGCCTGGGCAGCAGGGGAGCCAGCGGGCACCGTCGGCGTTGCGAAGGCAGGGGCAGCCGACACCCCCTGCGGGCGACCCTCGTGTAGACCTGGACCTCGCTGGTGATGCTCAGTGAGGGCTGTTTGGCTTTTGTCCTGGGGCTTGGCCAGACCCAGAGAGGAGTTGCTGCGCGATGAAAGGGAGGTTGGGAGGAGGCGTGAGGAGCTTGAGTCGGCGGGCGGGCTGCAAGCGCAACAGGCCCGCCGGGCGGCGGGCGGGCTACAACCCCCCTCTGGGCTGGCTCTGGGGGCTGACTCTGGGCCAGGGGGGGTCGCAGCGGCGGGCAAGACATGTCAGCATGGGTCGGACAAAAAGGTCCACAGCCATCCCAGTTTCGAGGCCGTGGGCGCGATTGGCTCGAAGTGGGGGCCCATCACTGCGATGTGGGCGGCGGAACTCACCGGGGCGACGCGCGCGGCGATTTGCTGGCGCGCGCAGCAGAAGCAGCTTCTCGAGGAGAGGCCGAAGGCAGAGGGGCAGTGGCACAGGCTGCGCCCCATCGCTGACATGCTGAAGGCTGGGGCGGCCCGCGAAATCTCCAGCGACGCGGAGAACGAGCGCGGGGCCTCGGTGGGCACGGGAGTCTTGGTCCGAGCCAGCAGTGGTGAGGGCATTGGGGGAGCCCTTCGTCCTGGCGGGGGACTGGGTTATCTGGCCCGTGGAGGGCGCGCGAGCATGTCTTGACGTGGCTCGAAGCCGACAGGGCCACCGTCGTCTCGAGTGGCATGGTTGGGCGCGTGAACCTGCCAGCACAGCGCGGAGCACGCGCCGAACACGGAGAAGACGTTTGGTGGCCTCGCTGGTTTTCCCATCGAAGAGGCTCTCGGGGCCGCCGCAGGCGCCGCCCCCCGTGCCGACCGAGGTAGAAGAGGCCCGCGAGAAGGCGAGCTCGCAGGAAACATCAGAGGAGGCGGACAAGCGGGTCACGTCGCAGATCGAGGTGGGCTTGGTGAAGGATTCCACGGGCGCCGACCGCAACGTGGGTCGAGGCGAGACCCCGCGCCACCGCTGGGCGGCGCCCAGCCTGGGCGGTGGGGGCGACGAGCAGCGCGACGCCCTGAGGCCCGCGGTGGGCGCGGAGGCGCGGCGCCCGCTGGCCGCGGCGGGTTGCCTCGCCCAGGCAGCCGGAAGGGCCGAAGGCCAGTGGCCTGGATCGGCACGTCGCGCAGACCCATCCGTCGGGGGGCATGGGCGGTGGCACAGGCCCACCCCAGGCGTCCCATCTGCGCCGCCGTTGCGAGGCGCCTCGAGATGCCACCCCGAGACACGGCCGCCGGCGTCGCCCCATTTGACCGTCGGCCTCAAGTCAGCGAGCGAAGAACGGCATAACATAAGTTTTTTCGCTGTCGGGGGGCGCCTGTCCCAGGGCGGCTGGAAAATGCATGCCCCTACGGCGCCGCCGTGAGGGCATGGGCCTTCCAGCCGCCCTGGGACCGGCGCTCCCGACAGCGAAACAGTTTATTTTTGTGCCGTTCTTCGCCCGTTAATCAAGCAGCGGAGACCCCGTTTGCCCAGAAACATCCCCGCGCCCCCCACGTCGAGGGGCCCCTTCGAGTGGCCCCGTCGGGCTTCTCAGCGGTGGCGCGGCGGGCGCGCGCCCGCTGTGGCTGGCCAACCACGGGGCAAGAGTCACTCCCGCAGCCCCGTCGAGCTGCGGCGGCGATCGGGCTGCCAACCCGCTTGTTTTCCTGGGCGCCACGAGGGCGCCCGGCGGCGCCGGCGCCGAGGCAGGGCCCGGCGCTGGGGCGCTCGTCGCGGCGCGGGTCGCGGAGGCCCGCGGGGCCGAGGCGCAGGTCGAGGGGCGGAGGCCCTCGACGCTCGGTTCGCCTGCGAGCGACGCCGGGCATTCTGCGAGTGGGGTCGATCTCCGCTGGAGGCCCGCTAGTTCAGGCGCGGGTCCAGAGGCCGGACTCCCGACAAGATTGGGATCTGCAAGGGTTCCAGGGGATTCTGGGGGCCTGGCGGGCGAGGTCCAGCGCGCGCGGAAGGGGCCCAAATATTTCGGCCCAGGGCGGCGCTGCACCTGGGGCGGCCGGGGCGCAACCGCGGGCGGGCCCCGCGCCGCGCGGGGCCCGCGGTCGAAGAGGCAGGACATGTGGCGGAGGCGTCTGGCTCATTGGCGGGGCTGGGCGCGCGCTCTTTAAACGCCCGGCAGTTCGCGCACAGATCAGACGTCGCGGTCGAGGCGCCCATCCCCTTCAGCGCGTTGGCGGGGGCGGCGGGCGAGCAGCCCGACGCCGCCGTCTGTTCCGCGATGGCCGCGCTGGCATGGGGGAGCGGAGGCCAGGGGCCCATCAGCCCCGTGCAATGGCCCCCCAGGTCGCAGCCGCAGCAGCGGAAGCTTCGGCGTGACAGGCGCCGCGCAGCGAGGCGAGCAGGGCGCGGCGCCCCGGCGCCGGCCGCGTGCCGCCAGTTGTTTGGAAGGCGCGCGAGGTTGCCTCGGTCGCCATGGTGCAGCGGGAGGCGCTGGACATGGCCTACCCCGAACAGCTGATCAACGCCGCCCTTTGCGCGCGCGGCGGGCCCGGGCGCGCCGCGATGGATGGGGCCGTCTGCTCGGGCGCTCGCGAGTTTGCGAGCGGACTCGCCGCCGGGCGCAACCGCGCGGGCCAGGCCTTCATGGGGGGGCAGGGGCTGCATCTTGGGCCTGGCGGGCGGCGCGGGGCGCCTCGTCTCGCGGGCCAAGTCGGAGGGCGGCGTCCGCGGACGAGCTGCCTGCGGCCCAGGTCAGGATCGCCAACCTAGGCGAGGTCAGGCGTTCGGGCGAGGCGCGCAACCCGGGCGTGGACTGAGCGGGGCCCCTGGCGACGGCCGCGAGAGGAGGCAGGCCGGGGCGGCGGGGCATGCCCCCCGCGTCAACGGGGCTAATGGAGAGCACGCGCCCAGTGCGCGGATGTTGGCGCAGAGTGGCCCGCGGGCGGCAGGTGCCTTCGTCTGCGAGGCCGCGTCGCCGGCGGGGGCTCGGCATCAGTGGCGGGGAGGGGGGCTGTGATCTTCGGCGGCGCGCCAGATCGCAGCGTCGCGCTTAGTCGCCTCGCTTGCTCAAGGACGATCCGGACAGGGAGCTGGGCGTCACGGCGAGCGGGCGTCGCGCGCAGGAGATCAGCGCGGCGCAGGGCGTCGCGAGAGCGTTGTGGCGCGAGGCGGCCCACCACCGCGAGGAGCTGAGACGGGGATGGGCCTGCGGGCCGAGGGCTTGAAGAGGTGGTTCCAGTCAACTCCTCCACTTCCTTCTACCCCCCCCCATCCCCCATGACGCGAGGGCATTGCTTGTCGGCCCACGCGGCGGCAGGGTTGAGGCAAACCGGCTTGCGCCGTTCTAGCACCTGCTGCGTGGTATTTTGCCAGGGGCATGTAGCGTTTTAGCTGCGCCCGTGGCGCAGGCGCCATGCGCCGCTTCTTTCGTCAGGTGCGGGGACTGCGAGGACAATGGGCACGTGAGTCCCATGGGACGTTGTGTCAGTGCACCCTAGGGAGCCAACCCAATTGCGCATGTTGGTCGGTGCGGCAGGGGCCGATGGTAGGACAAGTTTTTCTAGGAGACCTGAGCGCGCCCCATTCGAGCCATGCCATTTCGGTTTTGCTGCGAGTCGCTGAGCGACGGAGAGTTCCCATAATTATCCCCTAGTCGGTCGGCCTTCGGGACAGGTGCGCTTCCAAGGGACTGGACCGCGGCCTGGCGCCCAGCTTCGTTCCACGTGTCAGGGTTGCCTTTCCAATGAAGACATGATTCCTTTCCTTTCTCCTGTGCTCCCCGTCCTTCCTGTTTATCATTTTCTTCCTCCTCCTCGTCCTCCTCCTCCTCCTCCACCTCCTCCTCCTCCTGCTGCTGCTGCTGCTGCTCCTCCTCCTCCTCCTCCTCCTCCTCCTCCTCCTCCTCCTCCTCCTCCTCCTCCTCTTGGGAACACATGGCAAGAAAATCCGTCGAAACGAACATCACATTTTGAAATGGAACCGGCCTCCATCTGCGCAGCCCTGCACATTTGTCAAACGGGTGTGCGCTGCACTCAGACGAAAACACTTGTTGTAAACGAGCCGTTTTCCATCGGGGATGTCTTACAATTTGTGTCAGACGGGTGTGCGCGGCGCGAACGCCGATTTCGAAAACGAACCGCACCCCATTATTTAAATTGTTGTAATTTCCGATTACAATAGCATAAAATGTGAGGTTGTCTTTTGCGAAACGCCCAGCCCGCCTATTCGACCGGCCCCGGGGTGCGACAGGGAGGGGCTAGTTATAAGGAGGAGGTACCTTGGGGGCAACGGCCCCTCAGGGGAAAGGGCCCCTGGGGGTGTGGCAGCGCGTAAACATGCGCCAAGAGCTTCAGTGATGGATAGCGCGTGATTTTCAAAATGCGATTATTGCTCCAGCGCCGCGCACACCCGTCTGAAACACGTACACGACCTTATCGGATGGGGGGTGGGGCCCGGGGGGTTCAACATGCGGTTCTCGCCCCAGCGTCGCGAACATTTGTGTTATGCGCTTGCCGCAGCCTCAAACGTTCTCATGGCTAGCGTCCCGGAAACGGTGTTCAGGCACGATGTCAGTTTGTTAAGTCGCAACAGTTGCGCTGATTCGTGGTGTTGAATTTCCAACATTGGTGTTTAGACACGGTTCAGCATCATCAAGACGCAACAGGAACGGTGGTTCGTTGCGTTGAAGTCCCAGGGCTGAGGTTTTGGAGCAGCTCCAGATTTTCGAACGGTTTTCCAACGGGGCATTTCCTCCAAGGAAAGTGAATCATCGCAGTGCCTTATGAATAATGAATTTGGAGGGAGGGTTTCTTGCAATGTCGTTGATTGGTATGGAGTTTACACAGGTCTTCCCCCTCCCCCTCCTCCTCCTCCTCCTCATCCTCCTCCTCCCACTCCTCCTCTTCCTCCTCTTCCTCCTCCAATCCCCCCAGGCGCTCGGCGAGACGGCGAGCCGCCCGCGGCGAGGGGCGGCGGCGCCGCTTCCCGCGCGCCAGCGGCAGGAAGCGGCAGGAAGCGGCGCGGTGTGAAGGCGGCCCCGCTGCGCCGGGCCTCCGGAGCAGGAAGCGCACCACCACCATCACGGCCCCGGGGGCATTCATTGTGAGCCGGTGTGCGGGAAGCGGGTGTGCACGATGTCCTGCGGGAGCGCCCGAAGCGATGTACACCGCCACCACCCTTGGCCACCCTCCTGCCTCCATCCTCCAGGCGGTGGTGGTGGTGGTGATGGTGGTGGTGCGTCCCCTGCTCCCCCGGAGGGGCGAGGCACGAAGGACGAAGGGGCTGGGACCTGGTGTGGTCGGCCTGGGGCCCCTTCCCGTCCTCGGGGCCCCCCGTCCCTGGGCCGCTGACGGGTGCGCCCCCCCCGACCCGTGCGCCTCCTCGGGGGTGCCAGGCCGGGCCCGAGGGCCGCGGTTGAAGCCGAGGGGGCGGCCTCCCGACCTACCTCATGCTTCCCATGCAGGGGAGGCAAATGCCAAGAGAAGGTCTGCTTGCCTCCAGCGTGCCCTGAGTTTCTGGGGTTTCGGTGGTCTTGCGATGGACAACGTGATGTTCCCACATACATTCCCACATACAACAATCAATGGACGTCCTGCGGTCTCAGGGTTGGGTTTCTTGTGGAAGGTTTTTCGTGGTCTGGCCTCCACCGTAGTTACCTTACTCCTGCTTCTCCTGTGTGTGTCCCTCCTCCCGCTGAGGATGGAGGTTGGTGGATGCAGGATGGAGGATTGATGATGGAGGATGGTGGGTGGAGGTTTCAGGGTAGAGACTGGAAGATGGCGGGTCGAGGATCGGCTTCGGTGGCCCTCTGAGATTCGAGGATCGAGGCTCCTGGATCGAGGTTCGGGGCCCCCCCTGCGAGGTCATGGAAGGCCCTTGCGATCCCCAGGCTGCAGAGTGGGGAGGGATGTTGCCGCCTCCTGCGGGTGGCTCGCCCTCCCTCCCTCGCTTTCCCCTCCCCGCTCGCGCTCCTTCCCTCCCCTTCCCTTGCCCCTCCGTCCTCCTCCTGTCCTCGTGCTCTCCTCCGGCCGGCGGGGCGCGCCTCGACGGCGCGCGGAGGAATGGTCCGGAGCGAGGGGCGGGGCGGGCTGTCGAGAACGGAGGCGACTGCGCGGGGGGTGGGTCGGGGGGGGAGGGGCGGTCAGGTGTGGAAGAGGACGGTACTCTGTCTAATGTTCAGTCGGGCCTGTTCTTCTAGAGGGGGGATTTCCAAAAGTAGTCAAAAAAGGCCTGGGGACGATTGTTTTACTATTTCTGATCATCCAGGTATTGATTCGTATTTTTCCTCCAAAACCCGCCTGAAGGGGGGACATGCCCGACCGAATTCTGAGGTTTGGACGCGTCGCGGTGGCGCATGCTTCTGCAGCGCGGGGTGGGGGGGGCACATGACAGCATAGACGAGGGGGGCAGGCGGGGGAGGCCAGATAGGACGGAAGCAGAGGAAGGAAGGAAGGGAGCAGGAGGAGGAGGAGGAGGAGGAGGGCAGGAGGAGGGCAGGAGGGAGGAGGAGGAGGAGGAAAGGAGGAGGAAAGGAGGAGGAAAGGAGAAGGAGGAGAAAGAGGAGGACTGGTGCAGAGGGGCGTTGCGCTCCTGTCACTGCAGGCTGCACTGATGGAATATCCTCCTCTTGGGGGTCTGAGGGACCCGCGGCCAGAGAGGGGTAGACTTACATCGGGCACGTCCCTATACAGGAGGAATCTTCAAAAATAGTAAAAAATACTCTGGGGACTATTGTTTGAGCATTTTCTGACCATTTTGGCGTCTTTTGTCAGTATCTTTTTTTTTTTCGTCGAAAGTCCCCCTGTAGGGGGACACGCCCGACTTCGGGGTAGGCGGCCTGGGGGCCTGGGGGCCTCCCTGGAGGCAGCCAGCAGGGCCGCGGCCGGCCGTAACTACGCGGAGCCCGAGGACGACCTCCTGCTGTGATGCCAGCGGGAGGCGTGGCACTCGCGTCGCGGGCGCGGAGAGTCCGTCGGGAGCGAGCCGCGGCGGGCTCGATCCTCTTCTGCTTCGTGCTCTCCTCGTCCCTCGCCCCGCCCGCCCCGCCTCCTCCCTCCCCTCTCCCTCCCGCCTTCTGCCCTGCGCCTCGTGCTCCTCGTCCTCCTGATCCTCCTCGTGTGCCCCGTGCTCTCCGTCCTCCCCCGCGAGGATGTTGTCCCTCCCCCACCCCCCTTCTCATTCGAGCCTCTTTCACTTTGCCTCCTCTCTCCCGCATTGCTCCTTTATCACATGTCACTGCACCGTACTCGGTCGGACGGCTTGTTTCGGACAGCATCGGGATTGCTCTGACCGACCTGGAGCGCACGTGCTTACCCTCCTTCCTCAAGGTTGTGGTGGAGCATTTGGTGGAGGAAGGGGGGGAGGATGATCGTGTGGGCCCTCTCGCATGCGAGGCTTGAGTACTCATTTGTCCTGTGATTTCTCCGCATACATCGGCCGGGGCACCGAGCGAGAGTCATACACATTGAGCACGTTGTATTAATGTGATTTGGCTAGCCAGAAAAGGCACCCTTAAAGAGCGCCGACATGCAGTTGCGTACTCACGGATCCAGCGATTGGCTCTCCTATGGACTGTTACGTTGGCCATTCGTATGCGCATCCGGCACCGCATCACCTCCGCATATTGTCCATGCTCCGCATGTGAGCCGTGCGGTGCGCGTGTGTGTGTGTGTTGTGTGTGTGTGTTCTTGGCGTCTTGGTAGCCTTCTGATCCTTGCCGTCTGCTCGACTGTTGGGTTCCCCGCTGCCAGTTGCGGCGTCCGAGGTACCACGCATCGGCGGACGATATCGGCATGGAGATCGTGTGCCAGGTCCACTCGGCTCCATCCATCTTCTCAACCCCTGACAGGGTGGACGAGGGAGTTGGAGGAGGTGGAGGAGGAGCACGCAAGGGAGGGGAGGATCGGGACGGGAGAGATGAGGACGGTACTCTCCCTTCGAGCTCGAACGGCAAAGGCTCCCGTGAGGGCGCGAAGTGATCCGCGCGATTCGCGGTTCGCGGATCTGACCCTTTCTTCTCCTCGTTCTTCGTCCTTGTGGTCCGTCGGCCTCGTGTCGCGCGGGGGGCGGCGCGAGAGAGCGCGGAGCTCCTTGCGCCTTGAGTTGCGAGCAGCGCGAAGCGCGACTACAGGAGCCCCTGGAACGACGGCAGGCGAGCTCTGTCGTTGGCGGCCGCGGCAGAGGCAGCGGACACCTCCGCCCCCCTGGGGGGAGGAGGGAGGGGGGAGGAGGGAGGGGGGAGGAGGGGAGGAGGGAGGAGGGAGGAGGAGGAGGGAGGAGGGAGGAGCGAGGAGGGGGAGGAGGAGGAGGAGGAGGAGGAGGAGGAGGAGGAGGAGGAGGAGGAGGAGGAGGAGGAGGAGGTGGAGGTTGGAGGTGGAGGAGGAGGAGGGGTAGGAGAGGGAGGAGGGGAGGAGAGGAGGAGAGGAGGAGGAGGAGGAGGGGGAGGAGGAGGAGAGAGGAGGAGGAGGAGGAGGAGGAGGAGGAGGAGGATGCGGAGGAGGAGGAGGAGAGGGAGGAGGTGGTGGACGAGTGGGGAGAGAGGAGGAGGAGGAGGAGGAGGAGGAGGAGGAGGAGGGGAGGAGGAGAGGAGGAGGAGGAGGAGGGATTGAGGAGGAGGAGGAGGAGGAGGAGGGGAGGAGGAGGGAGGAGGGAGGAGGAGGAGGAGGAGGAGGAGGGAGGAGGGAGGAGGGAGGAGGGAGGAGGTAGGAGGGAGGCGAGGAGGGAGGAGGGAGGAGGGAGGAGGAGGAGAAGGGAGGAGGAGGAGGAGAGGCGGGAGGAGGAGGAGGGAGGAGGAGGAGGAGGGAGGGAGGAGGAGGAGGGAGGAGGAGGAGGGAGGAGGGAGGAGGGAGGAGGAGGAGGAGGGAGGAGGAGGGGAGGAGGAGGAGGAGGAGGAGGAGGAGGAGGAGGAGGAGGAGGAGGAGGAGGAGGAGGAGGAGGAGGAGGAGGAGGAGGAGAGTGTCGAAGCGCGCGCCCCCCACCCTCCAGGGAGCAAGTGCCGCCCACCCGGATTCAGTCTGATCAGGGGTAGCGCTGGGGATGCGTAGCCATAAATTTGAAGGGTTCGGCGCGGTTCTCTGGCGGCGCCTCGCGCCAGGGAGGAAGTCTCCGCGCAGATCCAGGAAATTCGCGCGGAGCTCTTCGTGCTGACGCAGTTTCTCTTTTCTGGGATGCGCTCAGGCGGGGGGAAGTGTCGACCCATGATCGCCCATTGATCGCCGATCGGGGCCCGATAGGGCCCCTCCTCGGTGTTAGATCAAACCGAGGGGGCGCGAAGATGACCGCGCCTCGCGCCTCGCAGCCGGGGCCGGAGAGGTTCCCTTCTCCTGGGTGTTGGCGCGCGGGCGCGCAGATGACTGCGCGGTCCCGATCGCGGGGCGCGACTCGCGACGCTTGGAGGCCTGTGGGCAAGGGCCGCCCACGTCGGAGGGGGGGGGCCGAGGATCGAGGCGGGCTCTCGGGCGCCCCATGGCTCAGCCTGGGCCTCCCAGGGACCGACCCTCTGACGACTCGCGGGGACCGCCGGGGGTGGCCAACGCGGGCGGCCCACCGCCGGTGCGTGACCTCACCGGGGGGGAGGTTCGGGAAGTAGCAGCTCATACTCTCGCTGTCCCCCAAGATCGGCGCGGGCCAGGGAGAGCGGAGGTGCAGAGGTGCATGTGGAGCTACGAGTGGAGGTGGAGGGAGGGGGGTGGGTAGACGTGCACTTGGAGAGGTGAACGGTGGAAGCAAATGAAGACGCGCAGATGTGAAGATGCTTGTAAATCTGTACAGGAGCGGGGGGGTGAAGTTGAGGGAGGAAGAGGTCGGAGGGCGGATGCGGAAGCAGGACACGCAGGCTGAGGCGCTGAAAGTAGGTCACGGCGAATCGACTCGGGATCCAGGACCGCTTCCGTCAGGAACATGTGTTTGATGCCAGCAATCAGGAGTCCTCAGTCCTGGGATACTTGCCGAGATATGTGTATTCACGATCGACCCGAAGGCAAGAAAAGCGAGGTTGAGTATTTCAAGTCTAATGGGTTGGGGTTGCGCGGGCAATATTCATGTCCATATCCAGTGCGTCTTGGGCTTTCTCGTGAGGGGCGCTGCCAGGCCGAGGCGCACTGGATATGGATAAACATCTAGCCCCTACTGGCCCGATGTTTATCCATATCTAATGCGCCTCGGTTTCTGTGGAAGGGAGCCCGAAACTCCAAACTGCAGTGGATATGGACGCGCCGTTCACCCGCAGGTTGTTCGCCTTGCCTGAGTCGTTCTGTGAGTGATGACATTCCCGCCCCGCCGTCTCCTCCCCTGTTCAGTAGACGCGCTGTCTGCCAGCGCTGTGCCACCGGGCCCTTTTGCTGTTGCACCGCTTGGCGGATTGGCTCGCCGGTGCCGCCTTGCTTGGCCCTCGCGGCTCACGGCGGCGAGCCCGATGTCCGCTGTGCGATTTGCCCGAGGCAGCGACTCACCAGACGGCGCCGTGCCGGGCGGCGGCGGCCCCAGCGTGGGCGTTCAAGGCTGAGCCCCGCCAGAGGCCCAGCATCAGCTGATGGGCCTGTTTCCCACCACCACCCACCACCACACGCTGAAGGGGGGGAGGAGGTGGAGGAGGTGGAGGAGGAGGAGGACCCACCACCACCACCACCACCATAAGTTGAAGGAGGGAAGGAGGCGGAGGAGAAGGAGGAGAAGGAGGAAGAGGAGGAGGACCCCCTCCCCCTCCTGCTTGTGGTGGTGGCGGTGGAAGACGAGCCCACCGTCGGCCGATCTGCATCCATCGGGCGACCTCCAGAGGCCGCGGAGCGCTCCGGGTGGGGCGCTGACCGCGCGGAGTCAGTGAACAGCCGGCGCCGGGGTCGGCACGCCGCGGGCCTGCCGAACAGGTCCGAGGCCAGGGGAGGTCGGGCCTCTCTTGGTGGGGCCCGGGGGCTCGCGCCGCAGCGCCGGTGTGTGGAGCCCAGTGTTCGGCACGCCGGCGTCAAGGCGGGCCTGTCCCTCTGCGGGGGGAGTAGTGACGGGCGCCGAACGGTCATTCATTGTCCTTGGGTGCGTGGCTGAATAAGAAAGTCGTGGTGAGAATTCCGTTTGTTGCGTTGTTGTTGTTGGTGGTATTGTTGTTGTTGTTGTTGAACTCTCATTCTTGAAGAATAATTTTTGTTGATCCCCCCCCACCGGTGCACATTGTTTTTTTTCGATTGAAGTGCCACCCCCGGGGCTCGCACCTTGTTTTTTCTAAAGGAAAGTCTTCCTGCTCAAACTGTGACCCTGCCCCCCGGGCTACAACAACAACGGCTCCCGCCTGAGACTTCCTCGATTTTTACTCAGGACCCCCGCTCCCGCCTGAGACTTCCACGCAATTTACTCAGGAAAGGCGCTCCCGTCTGAGACTTCCTCGCAATGTAATCAAGACCCCCGCTCCCGCCTGAGACTTCCGTGCAATTTACGTGGGAACGGCGCTCCCGCCTGAGACTTCTTCGAATTTTACTCAGGACCCCCGCTCCTGCTTGACATTTCCGCGCAATTGACTCAGGAACGGCGCTCCCGCCTGAGACTTCCTCGCAATTTAGTGAGGACCCCCGCTCCCGCCTGAGACTTCCGTGCAATTTGCTTAGGAACGGCGCTCCCGCTTGAGACTTCCTCGCAAGTTAGTCAGGGCCCCCGCTTCCGCCCGAGATTTCCTCACAATGTACTCAGGACTGCGCTCTCGCGTGCGACGTCCTCACAAATTATTCTGGAATTGCGTTTCGGCGCTCAGGAACCACGCACGCGCCAAGGACGCCTTCACAACGTGGTATCTTCCCTCTTCCTTCGTCCTTCCCCCTCCCCTTCCTCCCACTCTCCCTCGTTCTTCCCCTCCTCCTCTTGCAGGGCCCGCGCCAATTCCAATGGCGGGCAGAGAGATGTACGCCCCCGAAGGATTGTCCGCCCGTTCCGGTTTGCCCGTACGTCTAGGCCCGCCGGCCCCAGCAAAGAGAAATAATCCCCGCGAAAGGGGTGTGATCGAAGACGAAGAGGGCGGGCATCGAGGGTGTAGCGTATACGTGTTGAATGACTCGCGGGCAAGTAAGAGCGTACAGCCTTAAAATGGTTGTTGTTGTTGTTGTTGGCGTTGTTGTTGTTGGTGGTGGTGGTGTTGTTTGTTTGTGTTGTTGTTGTTGTTGTTGTTGTTGTTGGTGTTGTTGTTGTTGTTGTTGTTGCGTTGTTGTTGTTGTTGTTGTTGTTGTTGCTGTTGCTGTTGCTGCTGCTGTTGTTGTTGTTGCTGTTGCTGTTGCTGTTGCTGCTGTTGTTGTTGGTGTTGTTGTATTTGTTGTTGTTGCTGTTGGTGGTATTGTTGTTGTTGTTGTTGTTGTCGTTGTCGTTGTTGTTGTTGTTGTTGTTGTTGTTGAACTCTCACTCTTGAAGAATAATTTTTGTTGATCCCCCCCCACCGGTGCACATTGATTTTTTTCGATTGAATTGCCACCCCCGGGGCTCGCACCTTGTTTTTTCTAAAGGAAAGTCTTCCTGCTCAAACTGTGACCCTGCCCCCCGGGCTACAACAACAACGGCTCCCGCCTGAGACTTCCTCTATTTTTACTCAGGACCCCCGCTCCCGCCTCAGACTTCCACGCAATTTACTCAGGAAAGGCGCTCCCGTCTGAGACTTCCTCGCAATGTAATCAAGACCCCCGCTCCCGCCTGAGACTTCCGTGCAATTTACGTGGGAACGGCGCTCCCGCCTGAGACTTCTTCGAATTTTACTCAGGACCCCCGCTCCTGCTTGACATTTCCGCGCAATTGACTCAGGAACGGCGCTCCCGCTTGAGACTTCCTCGCAATTTAGTGAGGACCCCCGCTCCCGCCTGAGACTTCCGTGCAATTTGCTCAGGAACGGCGCTCCCGCTTGAGACTTCCTCGCAACTTAGTCAGGGCCCCCGCTTTCGCCCCAGATTTCTTCACAATGTAATCAGGACTGCGCTCTCGCGTGCGACGTCCTCACAAATTATCTGGAATTGCGTTTCGGCGCTCAGGAACCACGCGCGCGCCAAGGACGCGTTCACAACGTGGTATCTTCCCTCTTCCTTCGTCCTTCCCCCTCCCCTTCCTCCCACTCTCCCTCGTTCTTCCCCTCCTCCTCTTGCAGGGCCCGCGCCAATTCCAATGGCGGGCAGAGAGATGTACGCCCCCGAAGGATTGTCCGCCCGTTCCGGTTTGCCCGTACGTCTAAGCCCGCCGGCCCCAGCAAAGAGAAATAATCCCCCCGAAAGGGGTGTGATCGAAGACGAAGAGGGCGGGCATCGAGGGTGTAGGGTATACGTGTTGAATGACTCGCGGGCAAGTAAGAGCGTACAGCCTTAAAATGGTTGTTGTTGTTGTTGTTGTTGTTGTTGTTGTTGTTGTTGTTGTTGTTGTTGTTGTTGTTGTTGTTGTTGTTGTTGTTGTTGTTGTTGTTGTTGTTGTTGTTGTTGTTGTTGTTGTTGTTGTTGTTCGCGAGGACACTACTGGAGGCCCGTTGCTCGACCCCCCCCCCGATCAACGCCACGGGGCCACGCACGGGCCCCGCAGGGCCCCTGGTCCGAGCAACGCCACGAGGCCTCGCCAGGCCGCTGCGGGGGTCTGCAAGGCCCGGCGGCGTTGCTCGGAAGGTCCTTTCGGGGCTGCTGCGGAGTCCCAGACAGGCCTCAAAGGGCGCACCCCTCTCACGGATCGTGGCCCTGGCCCCACAGGGAGCTCCACCGAGGCTTGATTTCGGCGCACCACTCTCGAGGATCTTGGCGCAGGGAGCTCCACCGAAACTCGATTTCGGCGCACCCCTCTCAAGGATACCGCGGGAGTTCGTGTTGGATATGATCGGATTCCCACAGCATCCTACAGGATTCCATAGGTCTCCTATAGGAATTCTACGGGATCCCTACAGGGGTCTACAGGATTCCATAGGATTCCCCAATTGGATCCCTATAGGATCCCTTCAGTGTCCTACAGGATTCCATCGGAACCTTATCGGCATCCTATAGGATCCCTACAGGGTCCTACCGGATTCCATAGGAATCCGATTGTTATACTATTGGAATCCGATGGGATCCTACAGGGTCCCACAGGATGCCGTAGGATTCCTATTGGAATCTTATAGGATCCCTACAGGATTCCATAGCAACCCTATAGGAATCCGAGGGGGGCCCTATAGGATCCCCGCAGGGTCCCACAGGATACCATAGGAACCTTTTTTTGGAACCCTATAGGATCCTTACAGGGTCCTGCAGGATTCCATTGGAGTCCTATAGGGAGTGGGAGCTGGCCTCGCTGGCGCGCGGTCGGTTTTCGGACACAGGAGTGCGTGGGGAACAGGAAGGGAGCCCACGGAGATTCGGAAACACATATAGTTTTACGTCAGCGTATGACAGAGGTGTTGCGCGTTGCTCCCCCCCCCTGGGGGCAACAACTGCAACGTGTGGCCTGGGGGAGTGCGCTCGCCCCGTGGGCGAGGACAGCACCACGGGCCCCGCCGGGGTGGCCTGAGAGGTTGTCCTTGCGTTGTTGTTGTTGGTGTACGACCCCGTCCCAGTTATTCGGGCCCCACTTGGGAGGCCTCTTCAGCAGGGCGGGGGCAGCGGCAGGGTGGTCACGGGGCGGACACCGCGGTGCGCTCGCTCGCGCGGCGCAGGCCACCCCCACCGGGGCCGTCAACCTCGGAACGGCGCGCCCGCCGCGCTCTTGCCGCGCCGCGGCTGCCCTGCACAGGGGAAGGCGGCGAGCAGGGGGGGAGCGAGCCTCGATCGGCGGCGAGCCCCCAGGAGGGGAGTACAGTGGAAGCCGATGGTGAGGATAGGCAGCCTTCCCCCAAGAGTGCCCCTGCGTTCGTGGCGTTTTGGTCCATCCTTGACCACTTTCGAAGGCCCGCCGCGCCCGAAAGGCTTCGCCAGGGGCGTCCAATGGGGCTTGCATCCCTTTCGCACATCCTTGCTATCAGCTTTGACTGTATGGGCGAGCGGGCCTTCTCAGAAGACTCGAAAGGCCTCCTCCGGTTTCCCGCAGGCATAAGAAGCTTCTCCAAGAGGCCGGAAGGACTTCTGAGAAGCCTTGCCGCCGTCTGAGAAGGCCTGCTCTTTCTCGCTTCCCCCAGGGCGCGCCGCTGACTCGAGGATCGGACGTTTGCGATATGTTTTGGGCCTCCAGAGGCTTCCAAAGCTCCAGAGGTTGCCCTGGTAACCCTACAGACCCACGGAGACTTCTGATACACACCCAGAGATCTCTTGGGATCAATGATCGAGTGATCTTCAGTTCCAGGTCTTTTCTGGGGGATTCGGATTTTCAGGGCAATGAGCCCCGCCATTGTCGAGTCTGCAGTTGCGCCCACGTCTCCAAGCTTCACGGCCAGCGTGCTCGTTTACAACATTGCTTCGATTATTTATATCTGTAGTGTTGGTTGCAGTTCTTTATTTCACACTATCGTTTTCCCCTCGTTCACTCGTTCTCTCTCATTATCTCTCTCTCTCTCCCTCTCTCTCTCTCTTTCTCTTTCTGTGCGTGTGTGTGTCTCTCTCCCTCTCTCTCTATCTCCTTGTCTCATTCCCCTCTCTTTGCCTTCGCAGTGTGCATACACAAGGTGGACGCTACCTGAGTGGCCTTCGGCCTAACCTGCTATCGTTTTTGTTGTTGTCGGTTAATATCCTCTGGGCTGCCTGCTGGGTTCTCTTGGGAGGCCTTTCGGGAGCCTCTTGGACGTAGTTTCGAATGAGGAGGTTGCAGGGGCAGGGGAACGGGGCGACAAAGCCTCTCATAGGTTGCGCAGCTCTTCCCCACCCCCCTCCACGCCCTCCCCCCTGCCCGAGGGCTCCAGGTCAGGACAGTGGGTGTCATAGGCCCAAGCGTCGTCACACTTAAATAGGGTCTACTTCCCGAAACGCACGCATCCACCACCACCACGCCGCCATCAACACCAACACCAACACCACGACCACAACCACACACACAACGTAGATACACGCACGCGCACACCACCGCCACCGCCGCCATCGCCACCACCTTACGAATGAGTCATCTACACAGCAATCCCTAAACACAGCAGGCCATATACAACAGCCGCCACATACAACACAGACCATATACGAATCAAGCCACATACAACACAGGTCATATACGAAGCATGCTATACGACGCATCCCACATACAACGCAGGCCGTATACAAGACATGTCACGACTTCCCCACACTTCACCCAGATACGAGGCTCCCGCTCGAGAATTCGTCCATATTCACCAAGACTCGTCAGGTTATCTCTTCTGGGCTTCTGTGTTCCCCTCCGTACCCATTTTGGCTCAAACTAGGCTCGAGCAATTTTGGCGTGTTTCAGACAGTCTGTTGGTGGTGTATGGACCCTCTCGGTAGCGCTGTCAGCATTGGAAGCGCAATCGTGGATGCAAGCGTTTCGTACTTTGAATCGAGAAAGCTTGGGCCGAGGATTGGGCGCTCACATCGAATTCCGTTGGGCGATGTTGTGCAGTTGCTTCAGTCGCTCCAAGAGCAAGTCGGCGGGTGCGATCGCCAGGTTTTGGAACTGAGCAAAAGAGCAACCAGACAGCGAGTCTCACAGGAACTAGACGATGTAACGATCATCACAGAGGGCGTTGAGGTCGTCGAAAACAACAACGTCCATGTTCGGGCGATCCCACCCCTCATCAGGAAGTTTCTTAACATCGATGTTGCGGCATTTCCCGAGATCGAGTGGGAGAGGACTCTGCGAATCGTAGTGCCCCAGAGTTTCCAACTTGTTCATCGCGCTCGTGGCATGGACAGGGGCTCGGCTTCTCAGCAGTTGGCCCTGCATGCAGCAGGGGATGGCGGCACGCAGATTGTCGCGCGGACGGCGGCCGACTACAGCAGCTTCAGCAGGGACGATCTTCTACAACTGGTCATCGCCAGGGACACGCGAGTGTCCGAGCTAAACCTCGAGAAGGATCGATTACGGAAATCAAAATGGAAAGTAGTGAAACGGAATAGTGAATTGCAGATTGAAAATGCCCAGCTGAAAACAACCGTACAGGAGATCGAGTCTTTGGTGAGCGTGCGCACTGGGGAGCATGGGAATGCGAATAAGTACAAGGCGTACTGCATGGCGATCAACAGGAACGAGGGCTACGCTGGGGCAGCGGTAGCAGTCAAAATGATGGCTGGTGGCGAGGGCGTTTTGGGTGGGAGGCTGAAGGACAAGGGCATCATCATAACTTACGAGCACATGGCAGCTGCCAGCAAGAGGCTACGATCAAATATGTTCTTCGATACAGTTTCAGAGAGTGCGCAAGATGGCCGCGATGATTCTGGAGCTGTGACGCGTCTGCGCACCATGTCTGCTGAGGCCTTGCTTTATCAGGGGGATGCTACGACCTCAGCTGTGCTGGATATGAAAAAGCACGTTGCGAAAATCTCGTATTCAGCAATGTTGATATGCGACGACTCCTGCTTCGATTTGGACGAACTCCAGAGCGCGTGCGTCTCCCAGCGTGTACTTTGCGACCCACAGGATGTTCACGAAGGGACAGGCGAGGAGACGTACTCGTTGATGCTCCGCGAGTTCGACTCTGTGAGTGCACCTACTTGGGTCCAGCGACTTCGCGAGGCCAATGAGGCGAGAATTACTTTCCTGAACGCTGCAGTCGACAAAGGTTGGGCGCCATGCACAACATGCATCAGGACACCGATCCCAGAACGATGCCTCATCGTGATGGGGGTCGGAGTCCGATGTATTCTGTGCCTGATGCCCACAACAGGTGGCGACAACGTTTCTGCATGGAAGCGCGTTGCAAGGTTGATATCGGATTCTCGTCATATCATGCTAACCGTTGTCTGGTGTCACTACCATCAGTGCCATTTGGTGGACAAGGCTGTATTGGTTGCTCTTGAGTCTTGGCACCCATGGGTAGATGACATGCAAGTGAAATACTTCAACGGGGTCTCCAGCATGTCAGGTGTGTGGCGAACGCCTGGCGTGCCCGCCTGCATCAAGCAGACTACCAAAAGGCATTTCCCAAACAATTTGGCAGCGCTGAAGGCCGTCGGCAGGATACCAGGGCGATGCTTGAAGGACCGATGGGGATCAATCGACGGCGTCGAAGAGATTCTGTTAGCATCGATAAGGGTCCTGCGAGTTGTTTTACCTGCTATACTTGGGCCTAAGATGGGGGACCCTGCCCGCGGACGGGGACGGGGCCGAGGCAGAGTTCTGCGAGGGGCTGGAGAATCGAGGGGGGGCAGGGGCAAGGGGCCATTGCCCCCCCCGACCAGGTGAAGACGAGGAGGAGGAGTTCCAGCAGCGGCAGAGGAATGCGCGGCGAAATGCGCTTGGATTTCTGGACGACCATCGTTTCGAACTTATGGCAAGGGTGTCTTTTAACGTCAAGCGGCCTATCCAGCATCTTATGAATTGGGCCGACAAGAAGCAACAGGTGTTCAATCAGCAGGTCAAGGCATCCACGGCACGAGGTGAAACATACCTCGGCCCGACGCCCTGCTCGCTGATGGTGGCCAGTTTCGCGGGGACAATTCGCGATGAGATTTCGTTCTTGTTGAGTAGGGAAGCTGTGCGAAGCTACGACTGCTGGGCGCCCTTATGGGCACAATGCAAAACTGGCTTGGAGAGGGAGCAGGCGAGGCAACTTGTCGTCGAGTGCGTTCTTATGGTTGGGGCTTCTTATGATTTCAGGCTATGGGATGGTGCTTCAACGTTTCCATTGCTGCTTTTACTTCTGTTGGAACATCCACCAGGTGTTGTCGACGATCGGAGGCAGGGCGTGTGCGAGAAGCTTTTAAGTTCTCGGCGAGCCAAAGTCAACCAACGTGTTGGAGGTTTGGAGGTGTAGGGGTAAGGCCTCCCCGCGGGGGCCCTACCCCTTCCAACCCTCCAACACGGAGGGGGGGCATCACTGGATGCAACCAACCTTTTGCCAGCCGATGGAGGTTCGCACGAATGCTGCTTGCGGCAGCCGAGTCCTTACCTGCGGAGCGGCATAAGCGATCTCGCTTGGAAGCTCGGGCAAACGCATGCAGATGAGCTGCTAGTGGTTAAGACATCTGGACAAGTACCTTTGAACTTGTATTCGTTGTTGTTGGTGTGGAGGTCCCAAGTCGTCTTCGAGAGCAAGAGCATGGAGGGTCTCCACGTCGTTCTGCAAACAATGGCGAGGATTGCACCTAACATGGGCCATGCACTGGCCAGCGATCGCTTGCAGTTAAAGCTTGGCGACCCCATCAGCGCCACTGAGTGTTGCGGGTTGCACCGTGCCGCCAAAGAGTACATGGCATCTCGGTCGCAACTCGTTCGGTTTGCCCCTCGCGACTTCGACAAGCCAGAGGAGATCACCTTCAAGCCGTGTTTGCACGATCCTGCGCACAGTCATAGAGTTCGTGGGTTTGCAGCTCCTGCTCAGCGGCAGATGCCCAGAACTGCAACCAAAGCGTACACATTTGGCTTCAAGTTGGCAGCAAGTGAATGTATGGGCCAGCACGTGTACATTGCCGCATGGACATATTTTTCCAGGAGGTCGCTGGCTCAATTTCGCATCCCCGCAGCGGCAGGGACAACGGCAAACATCGTGCCTTGCTCACCTTTGAAATTCACGGACGTCTTATCTTTGGTATCTGGTATGGTGGATGGCGGCCCCGCTACCGATGACTGCTTACCCTTATCTGATGGCGATGTGGC